TAATAATAATAATAATAATAATAACAATAATAATAATAATAACAGATAGCATATGAAAAGCGCAAATCCCCGCTCAACAAGCTCTATACGCTTCACAATCTATACTATTACCCCAGCAGACCTGAGAGCATTCTTGAACAACCTCAACTTTCTGGGAAGCATACAGTGCAAGCAGCCATTTATAGGCGCTGAAACACAAGTTGAGGGAGCGACAGAGCTGACTTACTACAGAAAACTGCCTGTGTCCTGTACGCTCACCGGAGATATAGGAAGGAACAAGGATAAAAAAGGGAAAGGTTTCTGTCTTGTAAACCGGCCTCACGCCATGTGGAGACATTCGCTAATCTCAGCCGCAACAACAAATAGACCTTCTCTAATCTTGTCCTTACACTGTCGTAAGACTGTCTGTTTTTGTAAGACTTTCTCTGTTTTTGTAAGACTTTGTCCGTTTTCTTATTGATCAGATGTGTCTGTTTCGTCTGCAACCTGCGCTAGTTTTCTCATCGACTCATCTGTCTCTCGCCTCGAGGACACTTGTCATACCTGGCAGCAGAAGTTGATGAACAGCTCTGGGTTGTTTTTTTTTTAAACCCTGTTCTTATTTGGAGCCAGATATTTGTATGTTTCATAGAACATGTGGCACCTTGGTCGGCAATAGATGATAATAACAATAATGTTTCCACAAACATGCGCTCCAAAAAATACGAAAAAAAGGAAACAGGAAAATTGTTTGGATGATGAGGACCAAAAATTATAATTCTTCATCAGAATCCCCGGCACAATTGGTCGCTGTTAGCACAAGGGGGCTATACCGAAAAATGATGTTTTGAGAAAATCGAAGGTAAAGTTTTTGCCCCTTGTTCAGTTTCCTTAAAAGAAAAGGGGAGTTTTCTCTATAACCAAACTTCTCCTTTAGGTGGGCAATGCCCATTTTTGGGCAGGGATTTCTGAAAACATCCGAAATCTGGGTTAGCCCGCTTGTCCTTAAAAGCGACCAATTTAATAAAGGTATGGCGAAAAAACAGGAGAATTAAAGGTTTACTAGAGAATAACATACAGAGGAAACAAGGAGGGGAGATAAGGACGATGGATGTTTAATAGGAAAGAAGGAGCAAACCCCAGCAGAGCACCCGTCAGCCACCCACTCACGTCTTGAAAAAGCAGGGAATCGAACTGACCCCTGTTACGTGATAGGTGGAGACCCCACCAATCAAGCCACGGAGGCTGGCTGTAGGCGTTTGCCTGTTCACCTCGCCCCACGCACGTTTCTCCTGTCTCCTGGTTTATGTCTCTTTGGAATTTTATATCTTCACAGAGTTGTAAAAATGTTTGTCTCTCTACAGTTTTCTGTCTCTACAGTTTTCCTCCTTTCTCGAGTTTTCCATCCGTGAGCAGAAGGAGGAGGGTTATGTCCGTGGCACGTGCTGTGAGCAGGGCTATCCAGGTTATCGCGGGGATGTTGCGCAATGTGCTGTGTCCGTGCTGTTGTGTGTGTGTGGGGGGGGAGGGGGTTGTTTTTTTGTTCTGTTTTGTTTGGGGGGTTTTTGTAAGTGTTTTACGGCCTTCGTCAAATGAGCGCGTGGGACACAATAAACATTTTCATTTCGAAGGAAATTTTGAATTTTGCCCTGGTGGCGGCCGAAGCCTACTCGTATCGATTTTAAACCACCAAGGGATCTTTAACGTGCGCAACTTTTGGTATTGTAGATTTGTTGTGCGGCGATATGTTCTCTCACTGCCGGCCCGGGCACGTGAGGGAGCGAACCCCAGACACAGAGGACTGGGTGGTTGGCGGGTGCTCTTGCGGGGATTGCTCAGGCTCCTGTCTTGTCCAACATCTATCGTCCTCATTGCTCCCCCTTCTCTTCGGCAAAAATTCATTGTTGAGATCTGAGCGGTTCTGTTCCTTCGTTAAGGGTCCTGGATACCTGGCCAGTTTGAGTCATAGCCGCTACGGGAGGGGGGGA